ACCCGTAATAAAGTACCACCTTCTATAACTCATTCATTCTTGACAGTAGATGAAAAATTAGATAGCAGACTATTACAGGTTTTTTTCACCTTTTCGAAACACAGGGAGCAGAAAAGAGTGTATGAATTTTAGATAGAACTCCCTATATATTGCCTCCTTATTGGTGAGACCTATCAGAGTACTTTCCGTAGATACCACAATGGGTATATACATCTACTAAATTTCTCAATTGATGGGCATTCAAAACTAACAGAGTTTGATCGATTTTCAAACGATTTCCTCGTTATATCACGACATTCATTTTTCTTTGGCGGTGATCACTGAGAATCAATATTGTAATTAGTGACAAGCTATTCTGTTATATTCGAAAGCCCATTTGTAGAATTCGAAGCACATGAATTTATTGGGTGCGGCCTAATAACACAATGATATCCCATGCATATCCTTAGGACGTCCTATCGGGACATTCAGGACGTCCATAGGACGTTCGAATTTGATACCGTGGACGTTCATTGGACGTCTGTGGAACGCACAAATGTCCCACTTGAGGACCACCTAGAGACGTCCTTGAGGGATATATGTCCCTGTGACAACTATCGAATACCTAAATCCTACAGTATTCCTCATCAAGCACTACGGAGGACATCCTTAGGACATCCGTAGGACAACCTATCAGTAACGCTGAGGGATATCAATTGGATGTCCATAGGATGTCCCAGGGACGTACGAATTATTCTTGAATTTTAATTTCCCTGGGTCCCTCTAGGACCATATCTTGCATAACTGATGAGGACATCAAGTTGAGTTGATGGTCCGTAGGAGGTCCCCAATAGATCCTGAAGAAGTTTCCCAAATATGTCCAATGGAATTACGTGAAAGACATTGACGGAGAGTATTTATAGCCTACGAGCAATCATTCGTCGGCGAGGTGTAAGTTAACGTCCTCGCAGGGACAACATATTGAAAGTACCGACTGGGACGTCCGTAGGACGTTATTATTAGGACATTGGAAGAGTACAGTTCATGTACCAATTGGGACATCCGACAGATATCCCTGAGGGGCATTCGAAGGATGTCAGTAAGAGATATTCAGATTTTTTATACGATCCTGGAAATATTAAGGGCGTCTGTGCAGAGATATTTGAAGGAATAAATCATCAGGGAGATTCCATGGTTGTCTAGAAGGAACATTATATGAGATCTGAAGTTATGCCAGATTATGTACTACTCAGGACATTCGATGGATTTCCCAAAAGGAACGTTCAAAATCATATCCCATCAGGAACATGACAAGGACGTCCTTGCATGGATATTCTATGATATGTACCACGTGGGACGTCTAAGGGATGCTATTTCTAGGACATTTGAAATGATGTACCTGCTGGGACATTCTGAAAGGTCCTTGCTCGGACATTGCATGAGATATACGGGATGGGACGTCCCAAGGACACTTATTTTTGGTCCGGGACATTCGGACTTGAATTGTACCAAATAGGGACGTCCCTAGGACGGTGTGTGTTATTAGGGGTCATTTTTCGAAAGCTCTTTGTGTACGAGAATTGAAGAAATTATGGAATCTTCGAAAATAAACACAGGAGAGATTAGATGGATGGTCGCTCAAATTGGAATTTGAACGTAACGAATTATACGAACCTTTAAAATACTACCTTCATCTGTCTGTTCGTCTGGACTTTCTTATGTTTCCTGCTGGCCAGCCATCTAGATGCACGTTCTGGATTTTCTAGGATTGTCGATTGCACTTCTTCATGAAAATTGTATGAAAACCACGAAAAAGGCACACACACACGTGAACGTAAAGCTGTCAAGTCTGAGGATTTTAAAGGCGTTCTTCGCGGCAAAATGTTATACCGGGGAAGGTCCGACATTAACTTATTATGGGTTGATTAACATATATCATAGATATTATATTAAATAATGAAATTCTTATTACTAACAAATATACACGTGACACCAGACTATGAGGAAATTAAAGCGGCTACAAAATACTTTGGAACGTCTCTGAGGGCTAACATCATGTTCTGTCCACCACATCGCGCGATTGAAAAGTAGGGTCAGAGTTGGTAGAACTGATAGATGTTATGTTTTTTTCGGGTCATTTCCGACCTCTTCCTACGATATCTTCTTCTGCGTCAATGTAAGAATTGCTCGTAAAGTTCCACATTGAGGGTAAAAAAAACGTGAGCCTGCTCAAGTCTTTCCATAATTTGAGGTTTCCTATTAGTTCAAATATTCATACAAATGTTTTTCGAATAATCTCGATGAAACAGGCAATAGCCTCTAGGGTTATCTGGCAAAATTTTTGAATTTTTGACTCTGACATTGACCTCACATTTTTGTTGCGTCAACTGGTGATACCGAAAATGTTGGCTTTTCATCGTCGGGAAACATCTAGAATGTTTTATTTGCAATTCTTACACTTTTCACAGCTTTCTGTATATTTTTCCAGATATTGAAAATGTATCTGTTGATTGAAGAAGGAAAAAATCCTCTGTAAGGCTATTTCTCATCTTTCTTTCTACTGTCAACAATAAAAGAATTATAGGGGGTGATGGTATACTTTATGGCGTGTCACCCAGTACAGTTAATTATGACTACAGGACAGTGCCTACTATACTCTCCGAAATTTATTATTCCTTCTTCAATACTTATCTACTATCGAATATTTTCGAGAGCCATTTTCCTTCGCTCTCCTGAATTCTTCCATCTACATCATTTCCACTGGATATGTATACTTCAATACTCAGAGGAGTTTCCAGAAAGTAGTAGCCAACGAAAATTTTATTTATATTCCTGGCCTGAAAAACAAAGTGCTCATTTATTACACCAATGCGAACATCGGGATGCGAGATGAATTATCGATGTGTTTTCAATTCCACGTGCAACGGAGATTAAACAGAATTGATAACCGTATTGCCAGTAGCTTATGTGATTTGTATCTATGTGTAGGGACTTTTATAGACAAATTGGTTCCCTGTCTAGTTAGCGTAGATTGTCAGAGAGCATTTCATATTTCAACTCTTTGTACTTACATAATATATATAGCAATGCAGTTATACGAGGAGATTGATATTATAGCAGTCGTAACAACCAGATTTGAAAAGTGTTATCTTGATTACTGATGTTCAGCAATCTTCACCTGTCAGTACCAATAATTTTTGTTATCTTTCTTCTCGTAATCCCATACTGTAATTTTTTCATTCAATAGCATCAAGATGACAATTGTAAAGTTAATGGTAACAGCTTCCGTCTGCTAAGATTGTTCAACGGTCGGCGGCCGTTAACTGTTCCATAAAAATACGATATTGTGATAATGCCAGTCAAATTTCTATACATCTCTCTCACAATAATGGTCCCTAACATCACCATATATCGGTATACACTTATCAAGCGTGTTACTCAGTTCACCTCGCTGAGCACTTTTTGGTGAAATGCACCACTTCGTCTCGGTTTCTGACAAAAAATCCCAATTCGTCAAGCAACCTGTTTGATAATTAGGTGCCGACTGATTCTCTTGTTTACCTTCAGCTGTATATCACCTGACGAAGCTACTGCGTTAGCGAAACATGTCCTGTGTTTGAGAATTTCGTGGAAATCTTATCGTTTGTGAAGTTCTCACATATTGCCCCACGTTGGGCGCCAAATGCACCAGACTGTATTTTTCTCAGGTGGGTTATAATGATTAGATAACATACAAGGCACCAAATTGAATATTTGACGGTTCATATATCGATATACAGATCCGATCCGAGTACAAATTATCTCTAATATTGGTAAAAAATGAGGAGTCTCAAAAATGTCCGTGCACTGCTATCACTCTCTCCAATTCGTCTCGTGAAAGATGGAGAATCAGATTTCCCATGATTGAATCAACAGAGTAATCACAATAGGGGTCCTCAAAATCACCAGATATATACTTATCAAGTGGGTTACTCAGTTCAGCTCGCTGAGCACTTTTAACTGAAATTTACCACTTCGTCTCGGTTATTGACGGAAAAATTCCTCCTCCTTCTCTGATCACCTCATCTCACTGAATGCATGTTGACCACTAAGTAAGAATCCTTGTCCTCAGTATGATGTATTGTCAATGTGGAAAGTTCGTCCTGGCGACAGGTGCCTGAAAATCCCATAATCATACAAAATTTCATTCATAGTTTCAAGCATAATATGTTTAGTTACATATATTCTCTCGTGAAACCGTTTGGTGTCTTCAGCTTATTGCCAGAACTTTTCCTCTCAAGATATTTGTCATTATTACAAGATACATTTTGAGAAAACTAACTGAATATATATGTTCCTGTTGACATCTAGAGTTAGTGCTGTGATACCGTGAATATATCTTTCTGAGAATCTCAAAAGTATGAAATGCATCATATTCATTTCCGTTTAGTGGTTTGGACTTCACGTTCTAAGCTTACTGCTTCCACTGACTCTATCACATCGAAAGAAATATAAGATGTTTGTCAAAAATCACTGACTACGGTTCTACAGTAATGGCGACTTCAACTTACGAGGTCTCATAATGCGTTAAAAGGCGTTCATCAGAATCTGGAATTAAATTGACGCAAAAAGCTGGATATATTTTTAGTTTCGGAGTATTCTTGTGATACTTGCCACGAAGACGTGGAAGAACATGAACATTCCTGCTATTTGGAAGGATTATCAAATGAAACCGATGAAACTATAGGAATTGAATCTCAAATTTTAGTGAAAACCGAAACCAAAGATCACAACATAAGACAAGATCTAATAGCTCTTGAATCCGAAAAATTAAATACTTGGAAACTTAAAACTCATGTGGACTTTCTGTTGAGGAAGACATTTGCTTCAGCTTAATTCACGTTTATTTTCAGATTCTGCTTCACCAATCAGAAGACGAAACATGAAAAGCAAAACGTAAAAAGTTTCGTTGTGAACGCCGCTTCAAAAAGAATTTCGTCTTCTTACTAACCGATCACATAATCATCCATCATTGTCAACAGGCAACTCTAGCGATCCTCGACAAACTGGACATCGACGCTGCAAGGCCGAGCGATGAAGAAGTCGCCAGGATGTTCGGTTTCGAGGAAGCCTACTACAACGGCACTCTCAGCAGGTGGCAAAAGCTCAAGCCCAAAATTTGGGCACTATTCGACGAACCGTATTCCTCGTCGCAGGCTAAGGTACCGCCGTTCAATGTGCAGCACCGAAATGTGAATAACTTTCTCTACTAACTACGAAGGGCTAGTTTAGTGAACTGTAGGCTTCTAGTAGTCCACTAGTGGTTTTGTCCAATCGATATCAATATAAAGATCAATGAATAATTCTAGAGTATCCCTGATGAATATCCGATAAATAGGATTTTGCTCCATATATCATTGATTATTTCATTCACAACTGGCTGCACCTATGAAACTTCATCATTGAAGTCATATGATATGCGATATCAGCGGACTAGTTTAGTGAACTTGTAGGCTTCTAGTGGTCCACTAGTAGTTTTGTCCAATCGATATCAAGATAATGATCAATGAATAATTATAGAGTATCCCTGATGAATATCCGAGAAATATGAATTTGCTTCATATATCAGTGATCATTTTATTCACACCTGGCTGCACCTATAAAACTTTATCATTGAAGTCACATAATATGCGATATCAGCGGCTATTTTGATAAACAAACATTATGAGCGGCTATTCTGATCGATAGCATATTTTCTTTGATTCATCCCAAGTAACTCGTATTTTGAGACAATTCAATTTGACCATTTGAACAATAATAATCAAAGAAAAGTTTCAGATTATTAATGTTCATATGGTTTCATCAAATTGTTAGAATACAAGGTTACTCTCGATAGGATTTCATAGAAAATAATAGTCGGCTATCTGTCATGGCCTCGAGATATTACCTTCGAATATTTCTGAAACATCTTCAAATGACGGGAATAAAAATTCTCATTTCATGATAAACAACGAATATATTCCATTCAGCTGTTAGCTGAATGTATGATATCCATTGGCCTTAACCTTGTAGATAACACTGTAGATGTAATTAGTTAGAAGACGATTCTCCTCATCAATTCTCCCATTTCTCCTCGTACTTCGGAGCTAATACACGAATTGGGGAAGTGTGTATTATTTTGAAGTACTAAACCAACAAGTACTGGTAGAAGTGGGGGAATTTTGCACATCTGCAAATAGTCCCTGATGGCCTATTTGCAAGCCCCAATGTGTAATGAGAGATGCGGTTTGCTTAAGACAGCTATGACTAACACCCTTTTCAGGTACCGTCCATTAGTTCTCTTTCAGAGTATAATGTAGGCTACTCACTACTGTATGCTGCAGTGGCAGTCCTGCCAGCTACCTTGTTGAGTCCCGTTAGAGCCCCTTTGAGCAGCATTGGCTCGCTCTTACGCTCAGCTGGTAGTTTTTCTACACCAACCATCATACACCGTCCTATTTCTTCTCTGATGTTCACAACCACATCATTATCCTATGTGTTTTTTTTGGGCAGCACTGTTAATTGGTAATTGGAAAGCAGTGAATTGTGCAGGACTATCCCTAGACTGCACCTTTTATATACAATGTGAACATTGAAATCAATAAGTAGTCACTTTCGCAGTTCCAAGATCTCGGAAGGTGCCGCTGATGACTAAGCATTTGTGACAGAAAGGTCCCTTGCTTTCTTCACGAAGAGGCACAGGGCCAGGAAAAATCAAACAGAACTGACCCGACTGAGGGTACTGCGGGTTCGCGAGGAGTTGCAGACCTGTCACTTCGCCATCGTCATTTGAATACAAAATATGACAAATTCTTTCTATTGATCTTCGTGGTAGGAGTTCACTGCTTCCTTGAATTGGAATAATAAGTTATTCATTTAGAGTGACAACAAATTTGTCATATATTCTGGAAGACTCTTGTTATACATTTAGAAGATATCCAGTTTCTGATAGGATAACATGATTTGTTAATTCACTAAATCTTTCCTCTTCGTATAGTAGATACGAATTTGAGACTGATTTAGAAGTGGGTTCTCCTCGTATTATTAAAGACGAAGACAGTTACTAGCAACATCAATGGACGATAAAAATTGTGTGATTAGTCATAATAGACGAAAATAAATGCGGGAAACAAAACATCTGAATTGTATTGAATGATAAGAGAACTATCGCTTGTCTTATATGAAATATCAAAAGATTCAGAAGACGGTCCACAAAATTGTTTTGAACTGATTAGATGCATACGACGGCTCTGAACTGTCGTTCTGAAAAACATTTCACGAATCTTTGCCTAATTCACAGTTTCAGTTGAATTTGGGAACTTTTTTCGTTCACACATCTTTTAATTTACAGTTGCAGCTATAAATTAGCTTTCATCAATAGTTGCAACTGTGAATACGGTATAAATATTCAGTATGAAATAGGTTAATGAATTAAAACTTTGTTTCTGGTAAGGGAACCAGCAATATCATGAAGTCGATCAAATATCTGTTAAACATACAACTTTTATGAAATCCTTCAATTTCCTGCAATAACGGTGGAATGCATGGATACAAAATGGTAGCAACTGAAAACAGAACCCATACTTTCAAACGAATCGATAGTCTATCAGATTTGAAAATTGAGTCAACTTTCATTAGGGATTGGAAATCAATTTAACCGCATTTCATTCCATTAAAATGCAGCAAATCGAATTAACGTTCGAAATCATTGTGGGAAATGATTACCAGGCGAAAAATTGAATCACGGTGTTGTGTATTGAAAGTACCTCACCAGAATACATAATATTTTGATGGCCGAAATAATTACACGTTATCAGAAAAAACCTTCGAATTATTGGAATATGGGAATATTATACATATCGGAATGTATTTGGGGTGTTGATCTAAAAAGTCTACCAACTTCCAACGACCATAAAGAGTCTTTCGTATTGAAGTAGCCCTTAATAAGAACCATGAGTTGTATATGGTAGAATTGATAACGGTACATAGGTAAGATACAATGGGCCACTAAGCTTAAGTGTCGTCGTAGACATCGGTCAGACAAGACTACAATCAGGGTGGGGTTTTTGGTGGGTAAACCCTGGAGACAGGGGACTCCTACAACATCAAGTTTGGGACTAGACCCATATGATGTCCATAAAGGATTTCAACCACCTCGACAAAAAAAAGAGTATTTACCGAATGCGATATTATTACGCCCTGTAACTATATTTTTATTCCATTCTGAACTCTGCATCCTCCTTCCATAGTCATTTTAGGACATTATCGAATGCATAATCAGAATTTGAAGAGTCGTTGGAATTTGTTAAATCAACATAATATCCGATATTATATTTTGGTAGTGTTGAACCAATCAGTGTTCGTGTCGTGCAATATTAATATGCAAATTCAATTCATCACACGTCAATTTTGGATTCAGAATATCTTCCAGCCAAGAATATTTCTTATGAGAATTGAAAATTCAAATGAACGTGAATCAAGTTAGCTTGTCAATCATGACGGAGAGTAAATTCGTGAAATGTGGATGCTTACATCCGAAACCACAGATTTCATGGCTGGCGTTGATGTGGGTCAGCATTTTATTATGTTGCAGATATGTTGAAAAATACGAGTTCACTCGAAATATTTAGCAAGATTGAATATAAGAAATCCAAACTTCGAATATAATGTGCGATTATTAGACATTCAATTGCGAATATATATCGATTCAAGTAATTGAATAATTCCATGACGCAAAATATACTTCTTGAGTATTTATACCTAATATATTCAGCTGAGGTATGTTAGGATCCAAGTGAATGGAACTTATATCGCTTCCTCACCGGGATAAAACAAATGGGTCTATTATTGCTCACCCCTACAGAGGTTACGGTCCACTGTACGATCAATCTCGTCCATAGTTGTATGCAGAACTTTAGAATTCTTTGCCAGTAACTTATATAGTTTATGCAAAGTCAGTAGAACAGATCATCAAACGAATGTCGGGCCGCGCTGCCGCACTCTTTGAACTTTCAAAGGAACCGACGACTTGCGATGATGTGAAAAAATATCAACACCTGCCTTCTCTCCTATCATTACAGAATACGAACGATGTTCTTCAAGCATCATAGGAATTTCCTTTCGTGTGCTCCAAGAGATGAAAAGTAGATTATGTTGAACCTTAGTAGTGTGTTCAAGCGCTTCGTCTTTCACACACATAGGAGAACCGACAGTCTTTTTGGTTCAGACTATTCCTTGCAAGGTCATGATCATAGATGGTAGTGTAATGAAAACCGTCTTATCAGAATTCGAAGTATTTTCCTATACTCAATTTAGAGATCTACTCAACTGTATTATTGGAAGGTTCAGACAAGAACGCTCTCGAATTCGTCAATCGTCAATCCTGGAAGATCATGCAGATTCTTTTTGTCTCTGCCCAATCAGGAATTATTATTCTGACCTTACTATTGTGTTGAAACTGATGGATGGTACGTTAGTGTCGGTGGCATCATTGATGTATTAATTAATGCCTTTCGTGCTTGAAATGAATATATAATTGATATTCGTTGAACGTATACGTTTAATGTTTGCATGATTGCTTGGAATGCACTATATCTGTTTGATATTGATACACTTGTGCTCCAGAGTTGATGTATTGATTGCAAATATCTAGTAATAGGTTACCTCATAGTTACTCCACTAGATCGCCTGTTGAGACAGACAATTGAAATTAACAATAAAATGAGGCCACAGTCACTTGTTAAACTAGACAATAACCCATCAAAAGTGTCAAATTTTCTGGTCCAATCAATAAAAACATCAAACGAGAGAGATGTGATGAGCAAGAATCAACTAACTGTAGACAGATGTTAGGTATGACATCTGTCTACAATCAGTTGATTCTTGCTCGTCACATCTCTCTCGTTTGTTGGTTTCATTGATTGGATAAGAAGTTTTGACACTTTCAACGGGTAATTGTCTAGTTTTACTACTACATATGCAGATACATCGATCTTCCTCACTCATAAGTTGGTTTTAATGATCTGTTTCGGACGCTTAGGCAAGGGCATATGTGGTAGTTCGTATATTTCTATATCTTTGATTGATTGGCAAAACTGATCCAATTTTTTGTTTCAGATAGTTGCAGGTGCTTCAGTTTTCTTCATTTGCGTATCGGTGTTCTCGTTCTGCCTCAAGACCCATCCTGGTATGAGAGTGAAATGCGAACACGTCCACAGTACAGAGGTCAATTGCACTGAACCTTATTGGTATTTCCTAACTGCAGAACATTTATGCAACGCTTGGTTCACGTTCGAATTATCAGTTAGATTGATAGTGAGTATAATAATTGTAATAAGTTAAATTAGATGAACTATTCATGGTTTTGAAAATGAGAATATGAAGCTCAATTTGAAGCCACAAGTTGATTTCATAGAATGATGATTTTCACATTATGGAATGGAGCGAAACAGTTGATTTACTTCCAGGTAACTCAAGAACTTTCTATCGAGAAGGCAGAGTTTTCTGGATGACCTGATTCCTCTTCAATTCATGTATAACAGTCAGGATACTTCTGTATAGTTGTATGATTTGATCATGGGACTATTAAAAAATAACTGGAAAAATTCTGGATAATTTTTCATAACGGCCAGTTGAGTAATTACTGTTTTGACCTTGAATTATCTCTATAATTTCTTGAAAGTATTGGTGCTCAAAAGGACAGTCGTGATGGGATTACATCCCTGATCGTCTCTAGAAGAAATCACAAATAAATAATGAATCAACTAGATAGAGGAATGAACCTTAAAGGTTCATCGAAGGAATATTTGCATAATTCTTCTATGAATATCACATGCTACGATGGTTCAATATACAAACAGAAGAACCTTTAGGTATACAGAAAGAGTCTCAAGAGCTGCTTTGCTATCACTTTTGCTTCACAGAAGAAAAAGCCTGACACCTGGCTACTTTTAGCTGGTTGATCAGAGTGGGTAAATGGATCAGTCCAATACACGTAATGTTCACAGATGGTTCAAGAACCCCTCTTGGAGTGAAGGTGCTGTGTACAGCAGAAAATCGAAGACGAAAATCTCTGTCAATCTCGGTAAGTATGCTAGAATCTTTCAGGTGGAGGTCTTCGCGATTGAATTGTGTGCTGGAGAGCTAGGTGCAAACAACAGAGTCACTTTGCTGTGGGTGCCTGGACACCAGAGGGTGGAGGGCAACGAGGAAGCCGACATCCTCGCCAAACAGGGAACCGAATCTTTGTCTATAGGATCAAAACCATAATATGGGATCACCGCAAGTGCGGTCAAAACAACTATCTTGGACCGGCCGGAGGGAAAAAGACCTACGCACTGATCTGAATTACCAGGATTCACCCATTCGAAGGCGTTTCTGCCTAAACAGTCGAAAAATATAAGCAGGCAGATCCTAGAATGGAGCAGGGGTAACCTGCGTATTCTGACAGGACTGCTTACTGGTCACTGTCGGTTCTGCTGCGTGAAAGACGGATCGTCTGAACATATATTATGTTCATGTTCTTGCTCAGAGAAACTGAGGTGCGAGATATTTTTATGTAATGCAAGATAACAGCCATATCAGCTTTATTGATAACGTGAAAATTAGGTAGATATATACTGGTTATGAATTTCGTAACATTTACAGAAATGGATCTCTTTTGATGAACAATAGTATATGACGTAATATGTTATGTAAGGAGCATATTACGCACGAATGGAAAAGGTACGCACGCAGCCACGGATCGGCGAGTGCGTAATTCCATTACTTTACAACACGCATTACGTACTTTACTCTACCTACTGCCATATAGTACATCAAATAAGTTTGGACCACGATGTTTTGGACAAACAGTCTGACAGTTATGTCATTCGCTTTTGACGGAGATTACGCGAACATGACATATACCTATACTGATGGCGGAATAGACGAGAACTGTGCGATGTGCTTACTGTGTGTAAAGAGCTACTCACTGAGGCTGTATCTCGTGTGTTCTAGCCTACTTTCTGTAGTGGCCGTAGGTAAATAGTTTTACTATTATAATTATTGCGTTATTCGTTCGATGATTCTGATATGTGAACTCCCCATAACCATAACGCTTGTCTAGATCACTGCATTCATACGTCATATATAAAATCACAAGTGCATAAAATGTTGTATGCATCACGTGCGTAAAATGCGTTCATGGCCTTGATACTTGAATAACTATTATATTATTCACTGGTAGGAGTGTAAATTATATTATCAATCAGTGGCTGTTGTGAATAAAACTCCTTCGTGATGGAATGAAAATTGTCTCAATATCTCGAAATCAAAGTTCATATTATGAAAGAATAATGGTGAGAATTGATTGCTTGTATCACGAAATGCACAATTGTTATGAGTTTCTCCACTATGCTGCTTCACTAAAGGTGATATTATTGTGGTGAAATTTGTACTCTGTATATGTTTATAATTAGTTAGTCAAGTTTATTATGACGTTGTCAATCTATCAATGATGATAATTTGTCAGTATAGTTTTCAGTTGAATAAAGCCTTCAATTCTGAATAGGTATATCACTACAATTTATTCAACTGAAGATATTTCAAGATGATCACAGAAGCAAATGGGAACTCATCAGCAAGTCAATCCAGCCTAACTATGGAAAGATTTCTGAAACCTGACAGGTTCGATACAGATCCTAATTCCTCTAAAGCAGCACAGGAATGGATGCATTGGTTCAAAACGTTCGAAAATTTTTTAACATCTATTGGAAACCTAGACTCAAGTCATAAATTGAAGCTATTGATAAACTATGTGAGTCATTCTATCTATGAACTAATATCTGAATGTGATACATATGATAGTGCTATTGACAATCTGAAGAAAATTTATGTAAAACAAAGAAATGATATTTTTGCACGTCATCAATTGTCGACTAGAAAGCAAATACCGAACGAAAACATTGATCAATATTTGCAAGCTTTGAAACTTTTGGCAAAAGAGTGTAACTTCATAAGTGTTTCTGCTGAAGATCATCGCGATTTTTTCATAAGAGATACATTCATAAATGGATTGCTCTCGACTCAAATTCGACAAAGACTTTTGGAAAATAGAACTTTAACTCTCAAAGATGCAGAAGATCAAGCCCGTTCTCTCGAATCTGCCCAGAAGCAGTCCGAAGTGTACTCGTCGTCTTCAAGTCTTGCTGCTACAGTTGATTCTGAAAATTTAGTAGCGAGTTCCTCTCGAAATCCCTTCATGAAGTGCTATTTTTGTGGAAACAAGTTTCATGAACGAAAATTATGTCCAGCAAAAGATGTTGATTGTGGCTCTTGTGGAAAAAGAGGTCACTTTCAAAAAGTTTGTAGAAGCAGGCAAAAATTCAAGCAAACATCAGCTTCCCTCATTACAGAGAATCAAAATTCAGTATTGGCAGCCGCACCGAAATGCTTGTCAAAGTCATTGACAGAAGTTTTTGTGAACAAGATACTGGCTGATGCGCTTATTGATACTGGGAGTTCAGAGACATACCTCAATGAAAGTTTCATCAAATCACATCACATTCAAATATTTCCAAGTTATCGACAAATCTCTATGGCCTCTACTGCTTTACAATCAACTATAAGTGGACATTGTTTCGTTGATTTAGAAATACAAGGACATTTTTATCCTAATATGAAAATATCCATCATACCTGATTTATGTGCTGATGTGATAATTGGTCACGATATACTCAGTCAGTACAGCAAAATTGAAATCAATTTTGGAGGACTCAAATCATCTCTCTCCATATGTTCATTAACCATGGCAAAAGTAGATCCACCACAACTTTTTTCAAACCTTTCATCAGATTGTAAGCCAATAGCAATCAAATCTCGTCGCCATACTGCAGAAGACAGAAATTTCATTTCCGAGGAAGTAAGAAGACTTCTGTCTGAAGGAATAATAGTAAAAAGTAACTCCCCTTGGAGAGCTCAAGCGCTAGTGACGAAGAACGAAAAAACATAAAAAACGAATGGTTATCGATTACTCCCAGACAATAAATCGATATACGTTTCTTGATGCATATCCATTGCCTAGAATCGAGGATATTGTTAATGAAGTTTCCAAACATAGAGTGTTCAGTACAATAGATCTGCGAAGTGCTTACCATCAGTTGCCATTGAAGAAGGATGAAGAAATATTCACGGCTTTTGAGGCGGACAATCAACTGTATCAATTCAAGAGAGTCCCTTTTGGAGTTACAAATGGAGTAGCCTGTTTTCAACGAGTAATCGACAATATAATTCAAAATGCGAATCTATCTGGAGTTTATGCCTATCTTGATGACGTCACCATTTGTGGTAAAACTGAAGATCAGCACAACGAAAATCTTCAAAAATTTTTAAATGTATGTAAGACTTATAACCTCACTATCAACTATGAGAAGAGTAACTTCTGTAAACAGTCTATTAAGTTACTTGGTTATCTTATTGAGAATGGCACTATCAAACCAGATCCTGCAAGACTCGAAGCGCTCTTGAACATAGACGTGCCTCGAGATACACACTCGCTCCAAAGAGTTGTCGGAATGTTTTCTCATTATTCAAGATGGATACCCCGTTTCTCTGAAAAAATCTATTCTTTAATAAATTCAAAAACGTTTCCGTTATCAGAGGAAGTCATTTCTAATTTTGAGACTATAAAAAAAGATATAGCAGATTCTGTTGTTACTACCATTGATGAAAATGTACCTTTTGTAGTTGAAACAGATGCATCTGAGCATGCAATAGCTGCATGTTTGAGTCAAAATGGTAAACCAGTGGCGTTTTTCACAAGAATGCTATCGCAATCCGAACAAAGGCTTTCAGCAGTTGAGAAAGAAGCATATGCTATTGTTGAATCACTGAAAAAATGGAGACATTACCTAATCGGCAGACATTTTCAATTAATCACGGATCAGAAATCAGTTTCTTTCATGTTCAACACTTCTCATACAAGTAAAATTAAAAATGAAAAGATACTGAGATGGAAGTTGGAATTAGCATGTTATAACTACGATATTATTTATAGACCGGGGAAAAGCAATACTGTTGCAGATACGTTTTCAAGGATTTGTAGTGCATCTGTTAAAAATCCTCTGTTCGAATTACATCAATCCCTTTGCCACCCTGGAGTTACTCGTATGAATCACTGGATAAGAACCAGAAATTTACCGTATTCTATTGAAGACATCCGAAAAATGACATCAGACTGTCCAGTATGCGCCGAAATTAAATCAAAATTTTACCAAAGCAGGAATAAAAATAAATTGATTAAATCGACAGCTCCTTTAGAACGCCTCAATATTGAT